CGGCAGGGGGGTTGTATATCGATTGTAATCTAGGGGATTACTATCGATATATAGCACCTTTTAAATTTTGCTGATGATGTTACTAGGAGGCATACCCCAATTTATCTTGACTTCCAACTTGATCTTCTTATTGGTTGGTGTTGCATTATTGTTGGTATATTCTGGCATCTTTAGTCATTGACTTCTATATAGATATGACCAGAGCTCCAACTTGGTGCCTTTAGATGTACTAGATTAGCTAGTTTGTCTCTATGAGATTATCTTTTTTAGTTAGTTGCTCCACAGTGCCAGAGGTGCTTCCAATTTAGGTAAAGCCAATCCTTTACCACAGCCTTTTCACATGTTCACCGCTTCTCTCACCATTCCAGTTTCAGTAGTATTGTATCACCCTTCCAAGCAAGTACCTAACACCAAACATATTGGGACTTATACGCACAATCCATTGATCATTTTTCCAAGCAAGTACCCACAAGTTGGATGCAGGGATATTGGTATTGCTACATATGGAGATGATAGAATGTTGGTATTGTCTTTTTAGTCACCCAACCAGAGGACTTACTCACGTAATCTTCTACAACCTAGACCTTCTGTGACGCCACTATCATATATAGTGTCTGCATTCCATAATCAGGGCTTCTTCTGGAAATTCCTATTCTAGAACTATACTTTACTTGGACTTTCCACAGGGCTTTGCATCCGATTATGGCTCCATAGGTTACAGTAACAAATTCAAAATTTGTCACTAGCCTGACTCAAACCATTGACCTTGTCTGTGAGGGTTTGGGAGCTTAACCACTAAGCTACGAGGCCCAAACCCTATTGAGTATTCTCTGCTATACTTTAGATAATTAATAAATATAATATTTACTTTTTTTTTTACTTCACAATTTTATCTTTATTTTATATATCAGAAGTAGATTACAAAAATGTTTTCAGCTAGCTAAACCTACATACAAATCACTAAACTATTATATTCTTGTTCAAAGAAAGATTCTCTTGATCTGTTTTATTATCACAATAGAAAATAAAGTAAAATCTTAAATTTTACACTAGAGTATGATCTAGGAGCAACCTGCCTAAGTAATAATTTTTTTTCTTCCAGGGTCCTCAACTTATTGAGAATATAAGCTCTGGCTATTACCGTATAGCACTGACTACAGTACCTCAGGTACTTTTCAATAAACCATCGAATTTCTTGAATAGTACCATCTGGGTACTATTTACAGAAAGGGGTATACAAGTATGGAGGTATTTTGTAACAGGGATACTATAGCAGAGAGGTCTTTTACATAGTTATAATAAAATTACCATATAGGTGGCTCACAAAGGTGCTGTGATGTAATTTATAGCATAGCCGCAGTATATGATTTACCAGTATATATCGATATACTTCATAATTAAATATAATTAATAAATTAACTAACGGTGTGTCATAAATTACATCATAATTGCATCAGTAAATCGCGATATAAAAGAAATCAAATTTTTTTTTTTTTTTTTTACCTGTTAACCTGTTAAAGTTACAATGGTATGCGTATATGGAAATAAGAATAGTGGACATGCGAGAGTAACAAATAAAACAAGACGCCAATGAAATGCACGTAAAAAACTTGCTATATTACATACTTTGAAAAGCACCCAAGTCAGAGTGTTCGAGCAACAGCTACCAAATTTAATATTGAACCAAAACAAGTAAGAGATTGGCGTAACAAAAAAAATAAGTTAATGAATATCTCGCCTCATATTAAACGAATGAATAAGGGAAAATCACCTAAATATCCTGAGTTAGAGAAGGCTATTTTTAGTTGGGTACAAGAATTACACAGTAAACTCAAACCCATGACTTGTGCTATGATACAAATTAAGGCCAAAACATTATCTTAAAAATCACCTTACATTACTTATTATCCTGGTATTACTGAAAGCAAATTTAGCAATAAGTGGGTTGATGGCTTTATGACTCGTTACAAATTAAGTAATCGGCATCGAACATCCGTAGCTCAAAAACTCCCTGAAGATCTGCGATTGCAACAACAAGAGTTTTTAAGTTTTGTATTGTATAATCAAATTCAATATAATTATCCTCTTGCCTTAATGGATAATACGGATGATACCCCATTATTATTCGACCTTCCAAATAATACTACAATTGATAATTGTGGTACAAATACAGTTTCAATTCGGACTTGTAGACATGAAAAATCATGTTTTACTGTTGTACTAACTTGTTTAGCTGATGGGACTAAATTGCCACTAGTTATTATCTTTAAATTAGTTAATGTTCTACGACAAGTATTTCCCGCTGAAGTTTATATTCGTACAAATCCTAAAGGATGGATGAATGAAGATGAGATACTATGGTAGATTGAAAATGTGTGGAATTTGCGATTAAGAATATCAGTAGACCCACGTTTACTTTTAGTTTTAGATTCATTCACTGCTCATATTACTGATATAGTTAAACGTCGATTCTCTGAAAAAAACACAAATTTAGCTGTAATTCTAGGAGGTTTAACCTCAAAAGTTCAACCATTGGACGTTGCTATCAACAAATCATTTAAAGCAAGAGTAAAGTATACAAATTATATATTATATAAATAAATATAATAGATTTCTTTATTTATCTTATATATATAGGTACGAAATTATTATAATGATTAGATAGCCAGTGAAATTCATACTTTTACTAAAAAAGGTCGTATTCAACGTCCTGCATACAATTTAATTGCTCAATGGATATTAGACGCATGGAACAGTATAGATCCTACACTTATTCATAAATCCTTTAAATGCTGTGGTATTTCTAATTTACGGGATAGAAAAGAAGACCATCTAATTTTTGACTATGATCAACTTAGACCACAAACAAATTCACGTAATCATATATATATTCATGAAGAATCAAGTGATATTAGTGAAGGCTCTAGTGTTAATACACAAGAAGGTTCTAGCAATAATATGGAAGAAGGTTCTAGCGATAATACGGAAAAAAGTTCTAGTAATAATATGAATGAAAATTTGAATGTCAATACAAATGAACATTTAAATACTTATATAGGTAAAATTTAAACTTTAAATTAATAAGTTTATATATTAAATAATTTTGGTAACTTAATTTAAATTTAGTGAAAGAAATCAATTTAATCAACGATGATGATAGTCAAGTTAATGAAAATGAACATGGACATACTAGTGAAAGTGAAAATAGTCATGTTAATATAGACGAATATAACGAAGATGAAGATAATTATACTAGTGAAAATGGTAGTCATTTTATTAGCGATGATGAGGATAGTTATTACAATGTAGGAGAAACTGACTATGTTAATGAATGGGTTTAAGTAAGTAATTTTATTAATTTTATTAATTTTATTAATATCTAATATCGATGTGTTCTATTTTATATTAATTTATTAAAACTTTTTATATATCTAGTTTTAAATTGTTAGATAAAATCAGCAATATAGATACTGTAATATTTTGGCTATGACTTTAATGCATATATTACTAGTAATTTGAATGCAATTTAATAAAGCATATCAATTCTAATAGAAAAGTCTTTAAGCTTTACTCATACTTTGCTAAGTTTATTATCATATTTTAGTTTTATGTATTATGATAGCTAAATTTTTTTTAGTTATATAAATAAATGGTTAAACGATTATGATAAATCTTAAATTAAAAATATATTACAATGCTAGTTCAAGTAAATAAATTATAAATTATAAATTATACTCGGGTCTTTTTTACGGGGAGTATTATAATAAGTGAAATTTATATTATACCCGGGTATTATTCTATAATCACAAATACAAACCCGTAAATTGTACCCAGGTCTTTTATATTGGGGGTATTATAGCAAGAGGTACTGTAGTCAGTGCCATACGGTAACAGATAGAAGTACCATCTTGTCAGAATCACTATTCTACAATAGAGTACTACTAATTTAATGACACTTTCTTGTAAAGAAGTAAAAAAGCAAAAAAAGAGATAAGAGTGAAATAAAAATAAGAAAAGTAAAAAAACAAACAAAAAGAAAATAACCAAAATATAAAAGAATCCAAAACAACTATCTTAAAATCTAAGAAAACTTGTCTACAGATATAAAAACTTGCTAACCAGGTGAAAACTATCTATATAATCATAAAAATCTATATATAGAGCTATCTAACAGAAAAAAACTATAAACTAAAATATACTTTAACCTATACTAAGGGCTAAAAATTATATATATATAACTTCAGAATATTGTATATCTTTATTATATCACTCCAGTTTACAACTCTCATTTAATCTATCTCAAATCCTAGAATGCTGATTTTAAAGCCTTGACACATGATCATTGGTTTTATTTATTTAGGCTGCTTTTTTCTAAAATCTTTTTATAGTCTTTATTTCAAACCTTGATTCTTTGCTATATGAGATTAAACAATGAATCTTCTTTATAGTCAACCAGCATTATTAGAAACTACTTCCTCAGTTTTGTTGCATAAAGTATTTATTTCTGTATAGTTAATACTGATCAAAATACAGGACTTTTTATGTACTTCAATTTAGCCCAAACAAAACTTCCTTCTTATACGTGATTGTTGTATTTTTTATTCATCATATCATAACTTGAGAATTTTTGAAAATAAAAATATAAACAATGCTGATCTTTTGAAGAGAGGTAGCCAAATTCTCCACTTTTTATCAAAAATTATAAAAAAAGAAAGAGCTGAGAAAAATTATAGTTTTGCAAGTTTTCCAACCACAGAGTATTGTTCTAAGAGTTTTTTATAGCTTTCTGTTCTCAAATTAACTTGAGTTCTCTTTTTACTTACTGTTTTCAAAAACTCATCTAGGTTGAATGCTAAATACAAAAAAGAGTCTACCCAAAAGAAGAAAGAGCTTAACCTCTTTGCAAACTATTCAAAATATTCGCTTCTTGGTATATCATGTTCAAGACTTTGTCAACAACAGTTTGTAGTAAGAAAACTTTAAGTTATTTATTCACTTCTGGTCTTGAGTTTTTAACTTGCTTTTGAAGACTGGTTAGTATAAGTGATTATTAGAGAAAGTTGCTGTTTTTTTTAAATATAATATTTACAATTTTAAAACTGATAGTTTCTTTTTAATTAGCAATATATTAAATACTTGTTTTATTTATAGGTAAGTATAGAAATGCTGAAGCAATAATATACTCAAGTCCAATATTTATAAGAATCCACAGTAGCAAACATAATACCAGTATTACTTATACCCATAGTAAAGATTTTGATAATCTAATATCTGATAAGAAATTGCATAATTTTATTACAACAAAAGATAGTCAGTCTAAACTTATTGTTTTAATGCTAAATAATAGTAGTCTTGATAAGAATCTGTGCTATTAAAAGATAATCTAGATGATAATTAAGTATTTTATAAAATATAATCTTGATACAATCATAGTAATATATTTTATACCATATCAAAATACGCCTAATCTTATTAAGAGATAAATAGTACCTTTAAGTTATAATTTAGCTAGGATAATCCTTTCTTATAATACTTTTGGATCATATTTAGATAAGCAACTAAAAACAGCTAATAAGGAACTAGAAAAATATAATTTTAAACAGTAGAAGAGATTTTGGACTTTGTGTAAAAAATACTATTATTGATGGCTATTTAGTTTTAGTTAAATATGTAGACCTCAAAGAATATTATTAATTAAGATTAGATGAAAAATCTATTACTTGAATAGAAAAGCATACTATGACTTGTTATTATATTACTTAAGTTATCAAATATAATGATACAAGTTGTTGTAAACCTTTTTGCAATAGAATCTTTTAACTTTTTTCTAATCAGTTTTTCTCCTTTCCAATTTTGGTTTAGCAAAAGCCACATGGTATTTGTATAGCAAGCATAAATATATCTGATAATACAACACATTTTAGTAATTTTCTGCTATCTATATTGGTAGAAAGAAAGCTTATTCCTTTAAAGATAAACCTTTAGCATTTTTCTTTTGATTAGTATAGCCTTGCTATTAATAAATCTATTAATAAGTACCACTGCTCTTTTTGTTATCAATATTTTAGGTTAAAAAAATTTTTAAAATACATATTTAAAAATATCCATATAAATCATTCAAATCATTTACAGATAATCAAGATTTTCAAAATATAGATTACTTAGTATATTCTATTGTGATTATTCACAACTACTAGTATAGTAAATTTTTAGTTAGTAATAATGAAGATAAAGCAATATAGATAAAAGAAGATACAATACCTAAGGATGCACCAGAATTATTATTTCAAAAAGTAAACCACATTCGCACAAATCAAGATTATCAAGCATATCTTATTGACTAGAAAATTTAAAAATCTGAGTAGACAAATGATAAGTAAAGTTTTATATCTATGATTTTTTATTTTTTATTATTTTTTTTAATTCAGTAATTTTGGCTATTACTCTTTTATTTGAAAGTACCAGAACTCATATCAACAGGTAATACAATTTTCTATATTATATTCTATATAAGTAAAGATCAACTTGAGCAAAGCTCAAAGAATGACCCACTTAGCAGCAATTAGCTTTATATTGGATCCTTAACTTACTGAGAATTTGAACTCTCTAATCCTTAGCCCTAGCAGCTACATGCTTCATCAAAAGAGCCAAATTAATGAAAGTATAAACACAAAAAAAAAAAAAAAATACAAAGGTAAAAGAGGATACGATAAAAGATATAAACAAGAAAGAAAAAAAGATAAAGGAATATCAAAAAAAAAACAAAAAAATAAAATTTGTCTATCTTAATGATCACTATTATGAGCCTGTGACTGGTTTGTAAAAATTACATATTACTAAATAAACTAGTCCCTACTCTAAATTTATCTAAATAGTATATAAAGCTTAAAACCAATAAAAAAATACTTTTCAACTATAAAAATAGAAAGTCAGAACTCGATCTAAGTCTTGGAGTATTGTTTGATTGGATTGCTATATTTGAGATATATGCTTTGATATATTTGTTGTTTTGTTGTACTAATTTAGAAAATAAACAATGCTGACTATTTTGGTGTACATAATATTAATTTTTGAAGAGAGTAAACTGAAACACTTACTTTTTATAAAAATTTTCTCGAAAAAAAGTAGTAGGCCAATAAGAATATATGAGGTTCTTCTTATAAGAATTATAGTAGTATAGTACAGTTTTTCTGTTTCTACTTGATATTCTTGCACAGGAACTCAACAGTAATATTGCTCTCAAATATCTTTTTGGTTTGGATTTTGAAGATATAAAGAAGTATACTTTTTTTCTTCTTGCTATTTTCAGAAACTTCTCTGGTTTGGATACTGAATACATAAAAGAGTTTATCTACAAAAGAACAGAGAACAAAGCTTAACTTCTATACAAACTGTCCACAATACCTGCATCTTGATATATCATATTTAAGAACTTTGTCAACAACAGTTTGTAGAAAAGAAGCATAATTCAAGATACTGAACTTACTTTTTATTATATGCCTACTCTTTAGTATTTTATATATATAAGCTTCATCAATAGTGAGTATCATAGTATTCACTTTGTCACTTTTCTATTACTTTTACTGTAGTTTGGCTTGTTTTGTTGTTGATCAAGAGATCATTAAAAAGAGTTGTCTATAATTTTTTATTTTCCTATTTTTTTTTTTTTTTTTATTATTATATTTTATTATTCTATTTTTTTGTTTTTTTTTTGTTTTATAATGCTATTAATAATAATATGCATAAGGGCAAAAAATATTTTAATCATTTATGATAAAATTACAAAGATCATTATTAAAGTGTAGCTTTTTAGAATTTGGAAATTTTAATTTGATGCACTATGTACCGTGATGCACCTCTAATCACAGAGTATAAATAGTGATAATCAACTGATTAAATTAGTTAGATTTTTTTTTGTTTTAACACATTGTACTAATCACTATTATATATTTTTTTTTGTAACACTATTACCAGATCTTTTGCTTGGAGTTGGTGCCTTTGTCATTATCAGAGTTGGTATCATAATTTCAGTTTCGTCGTTGAAGTTGGTATTGTAATTTCAGTTTGTTATTGGAGTTGAAATTGTAATTCAGCTTCATTATTGGAGTTGGAGTTGTAATTTCAGTTTCATCATTAGAGTTGAAGTCGTAATTTCAGCTTTGTCATTGGAGTTGGTGTCATAATTTTAGCTTCCTTATTTATACTTTGGTGAATTGTGTATCGCCATTGTTGCTGGCTGTTAGTGTGAATTTGTGTCATTATTGAGTACGTTACTTCTTGTATATTGGTTGCTGACACGTTATTACATAGTTAGGTTTAGTTTAAGAAGTTAGAATTGGTT